TTTCTTTTACCTTTTTATTCTTTCGTTTTTCGTTTATATATCTACTTTTACGGAAGATTTCAGGCTATGCGAGTCTCCCATATGCTAGTACCAACCTAGGAGTTGAAACGATTTTGCATATTTTCCCCTGGTTTATTGTGGTATTTTTTCTCGCCTTTCTAAAAGAGCAATCAACCGCGCGCATACGCTCGTTTATATTCGTATTCGAGTTTAATTTTTTGCTTGCACTTATTTTTACATATCCAGATCAGTGTCAACGGTCCTTCTGAAACCGCCTTAGTTAGGGGACTCACAAAACCCATTGATCAGCACTTTGTTATCCGTTGTCTACGAAAATCAGCCGCCTACCACTCTCTGCAGCTTAATCGATCTCAAGTTGAATCTGAATCTCCAAAACATTCTCACTGTTGTCAAGCTGTTGAAATTGGTGATGGCTCTGTTACCCCAACTTCACCTCTGGCAGACGTCGGTGGCTCGCCGAAGGGAAATGAAGTTGAGGCAGTTCTTTCAGACTGCCAGGCTCCCTCCCGGATAAACTTTTCACGCCTTGGACACCAGCTCTCTTTGCGATTTACTGCACTTGCTGGCCGATTGTCACGACGCAATTTTAACTTCGATCCTGATCAGTTCTCAACTTTTGGGGTCTTACCTAAAGTTGGAAAGATGAGTGGCTCAACTCGCTGCCGTAAAGCTGTAGATCGACGTCTCCGAAGACTTAATACCGACGGACAAGTAGCCGGTACTAGTCGACTAGCGGTTTTCCTTGTTGCCGATGCCGGTGATCATGCGGGGATGGGCAAATCTGAGACCATCTTGAAGACGGCTATACAGTCTACTCCTGGTAAGGAGAACTCGATAAGTGTCGATGTGAGAAATTCGAACCGGCATAATAAAGTCGATAATGTGACTCAATCGGCTCCAGCCGTTTCCCTTGAATCGGACAATAGCTGCCGAGGAACGCAATCGATCTTCTTTCTGCATCCAATAGCCTCTCCTAGATCCTTAGTCGTATCTTCTTCACTCCACTCCCTAGATTCCCCAAACTGCTCGGCAGCTTCCGCTTACCCACATCAATCTAACAAATCGCATTTTTCTATTGCCCTACCGCAGAAGGCAGCTTCTCGGCTACCTAAGTTTCACACTGCTCGGCGCCTGAAGAGCATCCTTCTTTTCCGAAACAAATCGTCTCTTTCATCTTTACCCTTATCTGGCTCTTCATGCTCTTCATCTAGTGCTAAAACCACCACTACTCTGGCCTTTGGCTGCAAGAGAGCCGGTTGTCGAAAGTAGGCACTCCTTTCTCAGTCTAGTTTACTTTTTCACACTTGTCTGCTATGCCCCTGCTTATGACAATTCTTTCTGTATAATATTTTTTGCCAGAATAGGCAAAACCAACGGCATCACGGCAGCATCGTCAGCAAAAATGACAAAATAAAAATAAATTCTACAAACAATACTGCAACTAATAAGGCATTTAGGTATTTTTTACAACGGAAGAACACAGTTTATTAATCTAACAGAAAATAAATACAACTTTCAATACTCTTTTCGGAAATTATTATGTTAATTCTGTATCTTAGGAAGGACACGGTTCAATGTAAATATTGGTCTTCCTCGTTATACATGAGGCAGGATTCACAAAAGTTCGCCTTTAATTTAAT